GGTGACAGATAGGGCCCAAAGCTTCCAGGTTTCACGGCTAAATAGAGGTGTCACTGAAACCTGAGCCTCAGTTTCCTCCTAATGGCACATTTACATCGTAACAACTGCTCTGCTCACTTCAAAATATTATTTGATAATCACATAAGGAAAGGGCCTCCCAAAAATAGATTTGAGGGATATAACCACTCATTACTTTCCTCAAAAGGCAACTTAAGAAACATTCAAGACATCTCATCTCTCAGATTCCTGGGGGGATCTTGGACAAGTCATCGGACTGAGTTGCATTATCTGGAAAATGTGAACAAACAATCTTTCTGCATTATTCTGAGATGTGAAAGTACTGTAATAGCATCCTGCACACTCCAAGGCAGCAAAATTGTGCATTAATGCATTGAGTGTTCCTCCCAATAAAACGTCTCACGCCTGAGACCTACTGAAGGGCCAACTCCCTTCCTATGGCACCCTGAAGGCGGAATCTGTGTTTCTGCCCCCTTCCCTCCCAGGCCTCTTCTGGCTGCATCTTTGGCTCGTACTTTCTTTACAACACAGTTTCCCCAAGATGTAAATGGAATGTAGACCCCAAGTTGCTGCTGTTTCTTGCTTGTTCTCTTTTCTTTTTCTCTAAGTTGTTCTTTTTCCTAATGGATTTTCCAACCCCGTCATATGCCTCAGGAATGAGAAAGAGTTGCCCGAAGTAGTCCTTTGGGGACAGCTTTGGGCCCTGCGTGCCCTGCCCTGCCCACGCACAGGTCAGCTCTGCCTGGCAGTGTCGGCTCCGGGGGTGGCCAAGGTGCCATTCAGTTGCTGGGTCTCCTGAGGAGCAGGGTTGCAAGGCTCACCTGGGGCACACTCGGCTCACACAGACTTCGGGTCTCTGTAAGAACTAAAATGCAGCGGACATTGTTCCTGCAGATCTCCACGCACAAATGTCCTGTTTGAGCCACCAAGGAAGTGAAGCCCTCAGCAACTGGTGCTCACCTTCCTTCCAGAAAGAGAGGACTCACGAATACCAGGTTGCCAGAAATAGCAAACAAATTCCTCTCAAATGCATTCTTTTTGGTGTTTAAGCCTCTTTGGATTTTGAACGAGTAAATCAATATGGTTTTTGACCTCAGAAGAGTGAAATCAAGCCACTGTGAAATGAGTAGATATTTTTATAGAACCAAATATTCCAGACTTTATCATAAAATGCTGGCCCACCCCACTCTACTTTTTTTTTTTTTTTTTTTTTTTTTTGGTATTGAAGATTGAACCTAGGGTTGCTATGGCACCAAGCTATATCCACAGCCCTTTTTTATTTTGAGACAGGGTCTGGTGAGATTCAAAGAGCCCATCCTTAAGATTATGCTTTTCTAGCATGAAGAGAGAACCTACAGAATGGGAGAAAATCTTTGCTAGCTAATCTTCTGATAAGGGATTAATATCCAGAATATATAAAGACTTTAAAATACTTCCCACAAAAACCTCAAAAAAAAACCCAATCAATAAATGCATAAAGGAATTAAACCAACACTTCTCAAAAGAAGAAATACAAATAGCCAATACATTTATAAAAAAAATGTGCAAGATGATTATCAATCAGGGAAATGCAAATAATAACTACATTTAGATTTCACCTCACTCCAGTCAGAATGGCAGCCATCAAGAGTACAAACAATGACAATGCTGGAGAGGATGGAGAAGAAGGGACAGACACGTCACACTGTTGGTGGGATTGTAGATTGGTCCACCCACTGTGGGTCAGTATGGAGGGTCCCCAAAAGACTGTGCATGGACCCACCACACAACCACTGCTCGGTACTTATCCTAAAGCATTAGAGTCACCTTACCACAGTGACACAGCATTCCCATGGTGACAGTTCAAAATAACCAAACTCTGGAACCAGCCTAGGAGTCCATCAGTGGATGAAAGGATAAAGAACATGTGGTGTATACACACAATGGAGTTTATTAAGCCATAAAGAAACAGGAAATTATGTCATTTGCAAAAATTGGATGGAACTAGAGACCATCGTGTTAAATGAAATCAGACAAACTCAGAAGGTCAAGGTCGCAGTTTTTCTCTCATATGTGGAAATAGAGCAGCAGAAGGGGGAAAAAGGTGTGGGGGGGATAATCTCTTGAAAATAGAAGGGAGAACAGTAGAGTAGAGAAAAGGAGGTGGAGGGAGGAGAGGAGGGAAGGAAGAAATACTAGAGAATGAAATGTGATATTGTGTGCAGTGCAGATATGTCACAACAAACCCTACCGTTAGGTATGATTATCCACCAATAAAAAAGTCTTTTTTAGGGCTGGGGTTGTGGCTTAGTGGTACAGCACTTGCCTCACATGGGTGAGGCACTGGGTTTGATTCTCCGCACTGCACATAAATAAATGAATAAAATAAAGGTCCATTAACTAAAAAAAAAAATTAAGTATTTTTTTAAAAGATGCTGTTCATCTGGAATCACTTCCTGTGCCAAAATATGTGTCAGTGTTCAGCTAAACAAACGACATCGGCAGGAGATGCGTGGTGTAGACAAACTGACAGGTAGATGATGATACAGAGATGGACAGGCAGAGGCTTGTTACAAAACACTGGCTTCCTGTTGTGGGGGCTGATTGACCAGGCCATCAGAAAGGAAAGATCAAGAGCAGAATGAGTTCCATGGCACAGGCCAACGTGGCCATCCACAGCTGGAGCTGCATCTCTCCCCAGGAACCTCAGCCCTGTTGTTAAGGAGGGCCAGTGATTCAGATTATCAAGGGTAACCTCCTTTACTTAGGTAAAGGGTTTGGAGGGTTTACTATGCAAAATGCCTTCACAGCAAGACCTTGATTAGTGTCTGATTGTCTAAGAGACACGTGTTTTCAAGCCGTCTATATAAACGGCTTATACTGGGCCTTTAACATAAGACAACGAAAAAACTAAATCACCATGAGCAAGGGCTGCCTTACAGAAGCCACAGTTTGGCAATGTTTTACTCAGCTTTTTCAATACTCTGTCCAAAAGATCTGACAATAACAACTAGAGGTGGAGAAGTTTATTTGGGGCTCACAGTTCCAGAGGTCTCAGTCCATAGATGGTTGGCCCCATGGCTCTGGGGCAGCGTGGTGGAGGAGAGCAGCTCAGAACATGGCAATCAGGAAGCTGAGAGCTCTCACACACTAGGGACAAATATAAACCCCAAGGCACAGCCCAATGACCACCTCCTCCTAGTCACACCCTACCCGCCACCACCCAGTTAGCCCATTCAAGTGGATTAATCCACCAATTATGTTAAGGCTCTCGTAACATGATCATTTCACCTCTAAACTCTCTTGCATTGTCTCACACAAGAGACTTTGGGGAGGGGCTGAGGGGGCACCTCACATCCAAACCATAACAGGCAGAGTTCAGTTCACTATAAAAACACAATGGACACATGTCTTTTAAGAAACACCCTGAGCTTCCTGTTTTAAGTGGACTGGTCAAGCTGATATATCAAAACACCACCAAAAATAGTATATTCAAAATCCAAAACCTAGGCATAAACATAAATCTGTAAGATCTCTTCTTTGAAAACTCTAAAATATTCAGAAAGAAATGTTAGGATAAATAAATGAAGGGTTATACCATGTTCATGAACTGAAAAGCTCAACATTTTAAAGCTAACAGTGTCCCCCCAATTGAGTTATAGATATGCAATATTAATTAAATCCCTAACAAATTTTAAATGTATTTTGAAACTGACAGATAAATTCCTAAAATTTATATGGAAATGCAAAAGTCCAAATAATCCTGTTGCTCCCGGTTGAAAAAAGCCTATGCTCCAGAGACCATGATTTATTATGAAACTATTTTTAATTAAAACAGGATAAATTATCATAAAGATACAGAAATAGAGCAACAGAACAGAACACAGTCCAGAAACTAAAACAGATCCATGAGGTCCTTTGATTGATGACAGAGACCACTCACTGCAGTGCAGTGGGGAAATGCCAGAATTTTCTACAAGTGGTTTCTGTCTCCTTGGGTCTCCATGGACAAAATAAATCTGTATTCTTACCCCATCTCACACAAATGAGAAAATCTGCCCCAGGGACTGCAGATTTAAATGTGAAAGGTACAATATGAAAACTTTTAAAAGAAAATACATGATAATATCCTCGTAATTTTGGAATAGGTGAAATCTCACAAAGAGGATGCAGTTAGCACTAGACATCAAGGGCTCAGCCAGGCTCTCATGGGTGGGTGTCCAGTAGAACAGGTCCCATCTCCCCAGGACCATGTGACGTCCCTACTCTAAAGTAGACCAATTTGACTGCGAGGGTTCCAGATACTTTGAGTTCCTATGTTTAGATTCACTCCTTTTCTTCCAAGTTGAGATTTTTAAAAGTATTGCCCATTTACTTCCTGCCACACATTATCCTGTTTCTCAGAGAATGGGTTACCTGCTGAAGTGATTTCTCTGCAAAACATTTGTGAATAGAATCAATTCATGTTCTTGGTCTCAAGGGTGTGATGTCACGTATACACGTCACATGCAGATTCGCTTCCTGGCAAGGAGCGCCGCATGGTTCCCACAGCCCCCTCATGCAGCACCCCATTATTCATTAACACTAGTGGACAACATACGTGTAAAACCCCACTCACCAGCTGGAGCATCATACCCCCTTGGGTGTTTATAAATCATACCCCCAGCTACAGAAAGGTCCTTTAAGTTTTTATTTCAGTGGTTTTTTTTTTTTTTACTAAAAATTGGGTTTCTCTCAAATGTCTTCTTCTTAATTTGTTCTAATCAGTTATACATGACCACAGAGTGCTCTTCAATTCACTATACACAAATGGAGCACCACTTTTCACTCCTCTGGTTGTACACGAGATAGAGTCACGCCGTTCGTGTGCTCATACATGTACCTAGGGTAATGATGTCCATCTCGTTCCACCATCTCTCCTACCCCCATGCACCCTCCCTTTCTCCCTCCCCTTTGCCCAGTTCAAAGTTCCTCGGTTCATCCCATGCCCCCGCCATTATGGATCGGCATCCACTTACCTGAGAGAACATTAACATAGCGATGACTTGGCTTTGCTCAGAACAGCCAGGTCCAGAAGCCTGCTTGGTCACGGATGTTCCACGGTGACAGACACCTGCTGACGGAGGAGAAGGTTCTGCCGGCTGACAAGAGGCAAGTGGGTCCTGTTAGAGGGGAATTCTAAGGTTCAGGCGAAAAGGACTCCAATACCACCCCTGCCTGCTTCTTTCTGCCTAAAATGGTGCACAGACATCGTCAGACCCTGCGTCCTCACTTCCCTGCTCTAAAATGGGGTAATAACAACGGGACCCATCTCACCAAGCTGCAGGAGGTGAAATGAGAAGCACAAAGTGCCTGCCAGAGGTCTGCCAAGGCAGGACAGGGACTGAAAAAGAGGGAGAGATGACCCACAGTGAACCGAAGCACTTAAATCAGAATATTGAGACCCTCCCATGTGCCAGTAACTTTCCTAAGTGCTTGTCTTATATTATTTCAAACAATCCTCATAATTCATAATTCGGGTATTTTTGTTATTCCCAATTTACCTGTGAAATGCTGTTATGGTTTGTAGGCATCTGGCTCAGAGAGGTTAAGCATCTCTCTTATGTCACACAGATTGCCATGCAAAGATTCTGTGGGATTATAGTCTGTGAGCTTTCCATGATCAAATGCAGAAAGAAGAGAATTTCCCACATCCAAAGCCCGTACCTTACCATGATTTCTTTTTTTTTTTTAAATAGCTTCTCAGAAAATTTTTAAAGATAATAGTAATTTTGTAAAGCTGGAGAATATTTTTAAATAACATAATCAAGTATAGATAAATTCAATGATTCAGACTAAAATATGAAGCAGACTTAGCATCAAATAAATGAGCTCTTGAGTAACTCTGGAGTGTTGCAAGCTATCTCAGCTCAAACTCGCCCTGCTTCACACAGGGAGGGGAAGGAAACCCAGTCAATCTTACCTGTGTTCGTCAAAATTTCTGGTAAAACTGGAACAATGTCTAACCTAGTTTAAAAAGAAGAAAAGAAAAGAAAGTGATTGCTTTGAAATAAGTTACTACGAAACAGCAAGGATGCTTTTATCCATGTTTATACAGAGATTTTGAAAAATGTTTACTCATAATATGATTAGTGTTTGAAAAGATTTATCTAGTATAAAAATAGTTTCAAAGTTGTAAAAAAATGTTTTAAATAAATAAGAGGCTCTGAGAACCATCTAGCATTTACAACATTGTTAAGTACTGATTGAAGTGTCATTTTAGTAATGCTTCTAAAATTTCCTGCATAAACTAGGGTCCTTGTATGTCTCCATAAACAGTCTCTCCACTGCAAACAGTATGTCCTTCAGCTCTAAACAAAGGCAAGCCCCAGAACAGGAGATTAGCCCTGGCGTTTCTTTAACAAATGGTAAGAATTCATCATAACTTCTTGCTTTAGCATATCCTTGCATAATCTACTTTACATTTGGACTCGAGAAAATAGTGTCACATTTTCCATGGAGGGAAAAAAGTCATTTTATTGTAAGTTTGAAAGATTTTCCATATATGCGCTGCTGCTATTCCTGTATACATAGAGGATTTTTTAAAATTTTGTTTTTACTGAAAATATATAGAGGATAATAATAATATCTTCTATTCTTTCCTCAAACGCAGTGCAGCCCTGTCCTTTGATTCATATGTTTCTGTACTTGTCACCATTGAGGAGACCTAAGATCCTAAAACGCCGGCATTTGAAACAGCCATTAGGATGGCTGTTACATATTTAATTTCATGCTCCATTCAGCATAAAGCGGTTGTGGGACTACAGACCAAAGCAAATTAAGTGACTTCTTAGATAATTTCCTGCTTAATTGAAAGCAGGTAGCTTTTTAAAAGTAATAATTGGCTTTGTTTCAAATGATGGTAATGTTGTTTCTTTTTTAAAAAATACATGATTCTAGGACACTTTCCACGTAATCCAAACACAGTGGGTTGGGAGTGTCCCGCTGAGTCCAGGGGACATGAGTATGGCCACTAGTGGGGTGGCAAATAAGTGGGAGCCCTCCGAGGGGACACAGCAAGGCAGGGAACAGGACAGGTGGAGCTGGAGGGGGACTGACGCAGACACGGGACTCACCCACAGGGGTGTCCACGCACCACCTGCCCTCCATGTCCACGGCTCTGCATCCATGGATTCAACCAAACGTGGGTCCAAAACATGTGGAAGGATAGTTGCTTCTCTACTGAACACAAACGGAATTCGTTTGTCATTGTTCCCTAAGCAATATGGTGACTACTGCACAGTGTGGACTTTGCATTCAGTATTATAAACAATCTGGAGGTGACTAAAAGGGTACAGGAGTATGAGTAGAGGTCATGCAAAAACAGCACGTGATTTATAAGTGGCATCCTCAGAGTTGGGTGTTTGTGGAGAGACCTGGAACCAATCCCCTATGCATGGATGACTGCGCACGCGTGTGTGTTTGCTACTAATACATGCCATAGATGGATTGCATACCTGTCATTCTGCTTCCATTTAACACTGACGTACAGTTAGTTAGCAAGGGATCTATGAGGTCGTAGCCCCGGTTCCTACCTGAGAGACGAGTGTAACCACAGACATTTCCTGTGATGATCTACATCCCATCAGCAGAGGAGGTCATCCTAGGAATACGTATGAACGCCAGCATACTACAACAAAGCCATCAAGACTACATAAGACAGGAATTCTATTTTTTTTAAAGAGAGAGAGAGAGAGAGGGAGAGAGAATTTTAATATTTATTTATTTTTTTTAGTTTTCGGAAGACAGCATCTTTGTATGTGGTGCTAAGGATCCAACCCGGGCCTCACGATTGCCAGACGAGCGCGCTACCGCTTGAGCCACATCCCCAGCCCTTCTATTTTGTCAGGAGTCAATACTCAGACATTTTTAAATACATTAGACCTGATTTTTTTTAAAAAAGCTTTTCTATTAGGAAAGACAGAATGTTTTCTTGTTGCTTAGATTTAACAGAATAACAGAGAGTTACAGAGAAAGAATTTTAAAACACTACAAGAGAAAAATACATATTGAATTTCTACATTCATCAATTGCCATGGTGATTCACGGAACTGATAATACCCAGCATCAACACCCTACAGCTATGGAATAAATGCTCAGAGATGTGCTTTTGGTTTGGGTTTACTAAAACCCCAACTTGCCTGCAGTCTTGGAAGGCCCCTGATTTCCACTGTCTGCCGTCCTCTGGGTCACTGCCGTCAATCACGCTGCACTTGGAAACGGGAGCTCGGCACCGACAGCGCCAAGGCAGCACACGCCAGTCTTTTCCTTTCTCATACCTGTGGCCGTCCTGAAGCCTGGTTCCCCATCGGGGGATATTCCCAGGGATGTTTCCCAGTCATTTTATAAGGTGGAAGGAAGGAGGGAAAGAAGGAGGGAGAAGAGGAGGAAATGAGGAAAAGTGGGAGAAATGGAGGATGAGAGGAGGGGAGGGAAGAAGGGTGGGCAGGCAGGCAAAAGAGCCACGAGGCGGTCTGGTGGTCAGGACGGGGACGTTCACCAGCTACCCCAGTTTCCTACCGACAGGGCGTGGGGTACACCTACTTGAGGGTGGGTGTGGAAATGCCGTGTGCTTTGGTCATTGGCCGATGATCCCAATGCAGGTGCCTCAGCCCCAGGCAGAGGCAGTGCAGGACATTCCGTGCTTCCTCCCTTCCTTGTGCTCGGTCTCCAACAACTCTCCCTACAGTCGAGGGAAGAAGGGTGGGCAGGCAGGCAAAAGAGCCACGAGGCGGTCTGGTGGTCAGGACGGGGACGTTCACCAGCTACCCCAGTTTCCTACCGAC